TAGCTCTGCCCCAGCCTCCACCACTTTCCTCTTCCCTCCTTCGACCTTCACAACCTGCATGGCCCAGCCTAGCAAGGGATCCCATGGGATTCCCTATCTGACAGGACCTGCCACGGACATCAGGGGTCAGGCCTTCCACTCTGTGCCTCCCACACCACCCCCAGCAAACAAAAACCTGCTGGAAACGATGAGAAGCTTACCAAGGGGTTCGTTTTCACTGCCCAAAAGCAGGTTTTGTGAAACGGTTGCTTTTTTCTGTGTAAAATGTCCCTGAAATGGGGGGCATAAATCTATTTTCTACTTAGGATAATTTTATTTTAAATTGTATAAGAGGGGAAAAAAATCCTGTCTTCAAACAACAACAAAAAAGCCTTTTTGAATAATCACTCCCTGATTTGGGGGGAGTAGGGGCGGAATTCTGGATTTCAATTTCTACCAGAAATTTCTATCAAAAATGTGTACATCACACATCGGTAGCTGAGGGCCTCTCTCCCTCCTCTCATGGAGACAGTTCTCCTTTCTGCTCTCTCGGGTACCTGCCCTATATATTACCAACCGCTGCAGCCAAACTCAACAGCCCCAGTTTGGGAGGTGTGGGCTTTTAAAGACACAAACAGCTCTAACTCCCCAGGTGACATATCCCAGCCACTGTCAAGAGCTTCTGGGCACCTATTGTCACCACATTTTCCACACCACCCTCCACACTGACATCAATTCCTCCTCATTCTGAAAATGATTTTTGCTTTTTTACAAGACACAGCAAGTCCCTCATTTAAGTGCCCCAAGAATCAGGGTTTATTACTATTCAGGTGACCTAGTTTTTTTAATCACTTCTTCTAGAGCAATAATGATTTCCTAGAGTTTTACTCCCCAGGAAAGCTCTATTCCCAGCTTTTGCGATCCTCTGAGATTACTGGTGCTTAAAATAAAAGGAAGAACGCCTTATGACACGTCCCTTTTGTTTTTAATCTGACTTTGCCTTTCATTAAAATAAGGAGAAAAAAAATAAGTGTTCTCATTTTCAATCACGTCTGTCCTGCTCATCCATCTCAACTACTCAGTCACACGGGTAGCGCAGCTCCCTCTGCACAGGCACGTTCGTGGTACCTCGTCCCAGGAGCCTGGGCCAGCGTGTGGCTACTGAGCCTCTGCTGAAGATCACAGAGAACGGTCGGCAAATTTTCAAACAATCTTCCATTTATGCTGACTTGATATAAAATCAATTTACTCAATGGTAAAAAAAAAATCACCTGAAATACAAGGTGTCCCTATTTTTCCCCTCATACTTTAGGATTCGGAAAAACAAAAATATAAGCCATGCATCATACTGGCTGAAAAGTTAGAAAATATAAGAAAAACAAATTAAGCCAAAATCTCACCCTCCAGCGATATTTCGTCACACCTCCTTCCCAATTCTCCCATGCAGATATAAACATCACATTTGCAATCCTGACGACTCAACAAACATTCAAGCACTAGGTGTGGGAAAATCCACTAAGTCCTGGAAAGGGACTGTCCTGTTTGATCTATGCCACAGACTAGAAAATAGGAATTATCATTGCTCCCATTTTACAGATGAAGAAAAAAGGCTCAGAGTGGTTAGGGACAAGTGACCTGACCCCTGCTTTATCCCCACACCTGTGAGCAGCAGAGCTGAGACAGACCCAGGCCCTGTGGCTCCAGAACCCAAACCTGAACACCAGGCCACACTACCACCACCACTGAGGACACACAGCAACATACGCAAGCTCCTTTTTCACTCAGCAGCATCTTGTGAACACCCTGATGTCAGTACATCCAGATCTTCACCCTGGGTCCCCATCATTTCAAATGACCCCATAACATTTCTCTCAATACCTAGACCATGACTTATCCCCTTCTGGTGGTTGTCTCCCATGTTGCACTAGCATGACCAAACCTATGTGTTTATGCACGTGTCCAATTATTTCTATTGGATATTCTTAAAAGTGGGATTGCTTAGTCAAAGTCATATCCTTTTTTCTCTTTCTTTAGGGCTGTCAATCTGTCTTTGCAGCTTCTGGGAAAAGAAGTTTGCTTTGCTCCATATATCCTTTTGTAGCAAGGCCCCGCTTCTCTTCCATAGAATAAATGCTCAACAACCAGAAGACACGGGAAGCTTCATCTATCACAGTTACTGTGACAACGTGGACTGGTGTTCTACTGAAACTGCTTCTCAGTCTTGGGGAAGAAAAAAAAGAGTAGGTCTGCTATGACTCAGACTTCACTTCAATGCCTGACAATGCTCCAGATAGACAAAAAGAAAAAAAAGGAATCTTAGAAAAGCAATTATATATCTGAGTTTCACTTCCTTCTACAAAATGGGGAAAATATTACCTGCTCTACCAACTTGATTAGATCATTATAAACAAAAAAGGAATGCATGAATGTCAGTGAAGAGGCAATGAAGCCTGTTGGCCCTGGAGTCAGACTCCGTGGGTTTGTGTCCAGTCACCACCACTTTCTAGCTGTGTGACCTTACATAGGTAGCTGGCCTCTCTAGGCCTCCACATCCCCCTCCCAGAGGCGTTAAACAAGCCAATCTAGCAAAAGTGCTGAGCAGAGAACCAGCCACAATGGTGAGCCCTCTAAAGGCTGTCCAGGATTGCTGTTGCTATAGCTGTTATGAATGAGCCCTGTTTAGTGAAGAGGTCATCATGACACTATACAGAGGAGAGAGGAGCCCCAGCATTTCCCCTCGGGGTGAACTTCGCTCTGAAGCCACCTGGCAGTTACCTCGGGGGAGTGGTAGGAAATGCACTGAAAGATCCAGTCCATGGCAGGCGAGTACAAGGGGAGGTAGGATGGAAGCTCCACTCCCTGGACCACCAGCTGGTTCTGGACCGTATCCCCATGAATCTACAGGAGACCAAATAAACACTTAGGAAAAGAAGGAGAGAGAAGTCACAGAATAAACGGAGCGTGCGTGCCTCACAGACTGTGCACACTTGTAAGCATTTGGATGGCCCTGAGAGAAATAGCCTGGGTTCTCAGGGTTTTTTTTTTTAACTAGAAAAAAAACACACAGTTTCCCATGTCATCAAACTGAGCTGTTTTGGGAATGTGCACTGTGTAAAGAAGTAACTTGATAAAAATGGAGCCAGCAGATGCTAAGAAGAAAGACTTATCAGCTGGAGACGCTTCCTGTTAACACATGCACATTAATTCTCTCTGCTCGTTCAGTACAATCAACACATTTTAATTGTCTGTAACAGACGCTGGTGCAGTTTTCCAGGGTTTACACATTTAAAGAGCTTTAAGGCAATCTCAACTTGGAAAACCAACAGGGTTTTGTAAATTCACGATCATGTGACTGTTAGATCAATTAGCTGTTCTGATACTGTTCTCTTACCTGTTTGAAAGTGAGGAGGAAGTCAAAAAAGTTCTTATTTAGGCTTTCTTTGAGATGTGGAGCCACTTCCATTCCCACCTGCAGCCAAACAAAAGAAACGACCTCAATTATGGAAAAACAGGTTGCAAATAATATATACAGTATGACGTCATCTTTGTAAATTAAAAATATACACACAGACAGATATAGGCATGGAGAAGTCCAGAAAGTTACTTTTTATTCTTTTAGCTTCTCTGTTTTCTTATTCAATAAACATGGATTGCTTTTATAAGAAAAACCAGAGGAGCTATTTTTAATGAAAAAAGGGCAACATTTGCAGTTAATTGTCTTCGCAATTTCCCAAAGGTAACAAATGCCTTTCTGAACAGATGACTGAGGGAACAAATCAATATAGCACTAACGGAGGCATGGACTCCCAAGCTTGTGTACACGATCTTCTCTTCCTCTCAAAAAAATGATAAACACACATGTGGCTGTACTTAGTAAATGAAGCAAAAAGATTTTGGTATGTAAGAGGGTCAGCTGGGACTTCACTGCGGCGTTGTTAAAATAGATGGATTCATTCTTCGCTGGGCAGTCAGGGAAGCAGACTAATTTTAATATATTTTAAGCAATTTTATATAAAACAAGCATGAAGCGTAACAATGCTCTCGTCCATTGGCTCCTGCGTTCATTGGTTAAAAAACAGATTATAACATTTCCAGCTGAGAAAATTTGCTAATCATAGAAAAGGCGGCCAGAGCCCTGGGCTGGGATAGTAAAGTGAAGGTATGAGCTGTGGACAGGAGGCATGCGTTTAAAACAAAACGAAGCATTATAAGGTTCCTTAAACCGAGCTCCTTGTGTACACCTCAATTCCAAATTGCTGCCTTTACCACAAAAACAGCTTTGAAGGGAAGTTGCTTTTCTGAGACCTGGTTTTTTCCACTGGCGACAGATTTCAGCCATTCCCCGCTCCCTCCCCAGAGATCATGAAGATTAACGATCGAGATATTTTTCAGATGGCTGGGAAGAATGCTTCTGAGAAAAATTATGCGAGAACCATTGGGGCGTTAAACTCCGAAGGCGGCTCTAAAGCTGTAGGGGATGTTTCCAAGGGCAAGGCCGTAGATTAAAAAAATACTAACAACAAATGTCAGACCCAGTTCTACAGTGTTCTGATTATATTGTCTTTCCTTCCACTTAATCATATCGTAGAAAAGGCAGTAATTATCTGTTAGGTGACAGCAAAGAAAGGCCCAGTGGACAAGCCGTGGAGATGAGCTGAAGGGGCCCTGCCTTAGAAGAGGAGTTAATCACACTTTCCTTTAATACACAGCTTGGAGCTCCCCCTACGCCCTGCCCACTCACTCACTTTTGCGTTTTGTTTCTCTCTTCCCATCAAGCCAAATGAGCAGCTTGCGAATCTGCTTGGGTTGAAAAGATTTCTACACAGAGCATCGTGAGTAGTGGCTCATGATTTCCATCTGCTGTTTCTGCCTGCCTGGCACTCATTCCCTGTTCCTGTTATCAGCAAACCGGATTTGTCTTTCAGGAATCAAACTCTCCTCTCGGACCATGAGATTTGTGGCAGAGCTGGACCCAGCCCACCCTGAGTTCCAGCCATGGGCACATGATCCAGGCTCAGTCAATAGGCCTAGCTCATCCCATGGCCACAGTGATTGGTCTATCGATAGACAAGTGACCCAAGAGAGTCCATTCCCTGAGACTCTGACTGAAACGACTGGGGAGAAGGCACTCCCCTTCCACTGGAGTCCCTAAGTTGGGAGAATGGAAGCCTGGAGCTGCTGTGGGCCACCATATCGCAAGAGCGAGCCAGAGAATGAAGTTAACCAGAGGAGAGCAGAGCTGAGCCATGAGGAAGGAACAATTCTTGACAATGCTCTAAGACCCTGGATCCAGCCATGCCTGCACTACCCCTAGACTCTTCAGAGCCAATAAATCCCTCTTAAAGTAGTATGAGTGGCCTTTTGCTACTTGCAAACTGGAAGAATCCTTACTCTTATTCTTTTTATGTAAAAAAATTTTTAGAAACTAAAATTTTTATAGGTCTGCTCCATGATAGACACTGCCTGGACTGACAGAAATCATTTCAGCACATTTCCCCACCAGTCTTCCTGGGACGGGTCTGCCATCTCTCCTCACTGTCACCAAGTTTTAAAGTTACATCTGCCATTCAAAGGCACTTTATAGGTAACAAACATTATCTCCTCCCTAACTTGTATATCTGACATCAAACTTTAAAACTGAACATGATTGTGAGCAATGGGCATTTCCTCACTCTTTCTGATTTCTCTAATAACCAGAATCATCTTCATAAGACACACGGTAACTCTAAATCTTTATTACTCCATTATTCAACTGATGTCTAGGCGAGTCCAAAGAATTTGCTCTGTTCTAGAAGAGGAAAGGCAGTAGTGTGCGAATGTGCAAACGAGGATACACAGGACCCAGCAGTGCTCTGTGCACAGTAGGCCCTCAGCCAACACTGACTCGGAACGAGTATTCAGGCTGCGATAGATTCCAGAGCTGAAGCTCCAGGAAACATACCTGATATTCCCGCATGAAAAGACACCCCAAGTTAGAAGCAGACGGCAGCACCCACACACCTTGGCCTCGGTCACAGAGTAGGTCGCCCTTAAATGGCAGACTCTTTCTTTCATTCTCGTCTATCATGGAAAAGATCTTTAAAAAGTGCCCTTCGTGAGGATGTCTGCTGTTCACTGAGGGCGATGACTGATTTCTTTGTGACACAGACCACGGGGCTTCTGTCGTTTGCTAGATGTCACGTAAAAGAAGCCAATGAAAGGATACTGGTTCTTGCCTTCTGATTTAATGACGTGAGTAATCCCTAGTGGGGAGCAGGGAGTCTAACCGCACGTGGCTTTGTCCTCAAGGAAGTCTGGGTTCTTCAGGACCCTTTGGAAGAAGGGCAATGAGCCCCCTGTAAAGGGGAAAGAAGCTGACGGGCCTAGCAAGGAGGCTCCATTGAAAGCTGATGGAGGCAAAGCCCCCACACAAGTTCAAGAAAAACCACCGATAACTCCATGGGTTGCATTCTTCACAAATGAAAAACTAACAGCTCTTCACGGTGCTTTAAAGGAGAGAAAGGTCGAGTGACTTACAACCAGGACTGCCTTACACAAGAGAGCAGCCGTGAAGACAGGCCTGTGCCCTCCGAGGCAGGCTACACAGACCCTGACGCCTGTCACCGCAAGGAGCACCACTCCAGCCAGACAGCCCACACCGACTGCTCTCTGAGTGACCCTTTAATATGAGGACGGAGAAACTAACCAAGCGACCACATTCAAGGCAAAGGGAAAGCACGTTTCAAGTCAATGAAAAGCAAACCATTAGCTGAAAGGCCTTGGGAGTCTCCTTCCCAGCAAGAATGGAGGAACAATTAATTCTGAAAACCAGTTCATTTGTAAGACAACGACCTTACAGGCCTCCAATTAGACTTACGGTAAGTGGCTCTACTTTAAAATTAATTTTTAAAAGAAATCCTACAGCTCTGCTTTCTGTGGAAGAGCCGTGTTCTAAAATTAGAAGCTAATAAAGTCCTTCTTCCAGTGACTTGTGAGGTGGTGGTGAAGGAGAAGCCTCGGGAACATTTAAGGAAACAGGGAACTGCCACGTCTGGGAGCACAGCAACGTGACACGGCCTACCCGGCAGAGGTAGGCCCGGGCATACACCGACACCAGTGGGTCCCCGATCCCTCGAATCATGCATGTCAATCGGGGCAGACATTCCGAAATCCCCCTGTTAGAAACAAAAAGACAGCAGCATTATACCCCTGTGAGAGCTCCCTGTTCTTTTTAAAATAAACATAAAGCTAAACTTCCTAAATTTAGGGGGAAAAAAATCAAGTTTCAGGAATAACCAAGGTCAAAGTTTCCGAGTTTTCTAAGGCTACGTAACAAGAGTCTTTCTCTCTAGACACGATTCATTCACGGAATGGTTTCTTCCACCTTTACTATCTGCTCAGAGCTGGAGTCTAACCTTTACTTTTTTCCCTGTTAGAGGTCACATTTATTCTATTAACTTAGCAGTTTTTGTTTTCCAGGGATTGTCCATGGGCTGTGACACTGATCTGCTGTCCTGTGCCCCGGCCCTTCCTAGCACCGGACACCTAGCCCCTGAGCCGGCATCAGGAATCTGTTAACGTGAACTCTGATTTATTCCTCCCGAGACACAGAACCTTCCTCTGCCTCAGGCATTATCCTGCCCCAACCGGGAGGGGGAAATAACTGTTCCTGCAGCACGAGTGTTATCCCTCCAAACGACCCCAGCCAGCCCCAGATCCCAGTCACACACTAAGTCCTACCAAAGGACTCGTGAGTCAGCCCAGGCCTTCAGGGAGTTCGCCATCTAGCTGCCACCCAACATGACTCGGCGTTTCACTGGTTCTGCAGAAAGGAGATCTGGTTTCCCTAGGCTCTGTGAATGCCTCTCAAAACAATGTCAGAGGTGACCCACGGTAGAACGGGGACCAGGGGCAAAGACTTGTGCTCTGACATCATCGTCATCGTCATCATCGTGGACGCAGCAGCAAACACTGAGCATGGGCGCACTGCATGGCAGGTGCTGCTCTCAGTGCAGTGCATGTGGCTACCGGACTCTCCCAGACCTCTTCTTAGGGTCTTGTTCTCAGAGGAGACCGAGGGTCAGAGATGCTAAATGACTTGCTCAAGACCACACAGCTAGTAATGGCAGAGCCAGGACTCAAATCCAGCCAAGCTGCTGTCTCATGAGCAACTCAACCAACCTCTCCTAGCTTGAGTTGTCTTCTCTAGAAAACAGGGATTAAAATGTTCTCTCTACTTCATTAAGTTTTCATTTGAATTAAATGAGAAAATGCATGGAAGGTGCTTGGCACCAGATCTGTTACATGCTAAGTACCCAAAGAATGATGGCCACTATTATATTGCCATTAGTGTGTGCTGCGTGTGTGTGTGTGTGAGACACTTTTTGGAAATATTACAGTTCTAGACATTTCAGAGGCTTACGTTTTGGAGAGGAACTTGTTACACTTCAGAATGGATGCTTCCACATAACTACAAAAACATTCAGGTAAGGAAGATATTTTCCAGACAGGCTGTTCCCTACGGGAAAAGACTAAACTGTTCACGAACAGAACAAGGCATGTCTTCAGGAGAGGGGGCCAAGATGGCTCTCAACAACCCAGGGAACTGAGTTAGCTAGTGGCTTGTGGTTTCTATATTTGGGTCTCAAGGTTTCATACACACTTACAATAAAATTTGGAAAATGTTACATGCTGATTCATGGTTGCACGCTGTAATTTAAGCTGGGTTTTGAGCATTTCCAACCAAGGCTTTATGAGGAAAGAACACACTTCAGGTAACTACGATTTGCTAGGTGCATGAGTCGCCTTCTCTGTCCTTCAGTACCGGCATTTGTGCACAGAAGCCTGACCTTGTTCCTTTCAAGTTGTCAGAAACAGACAACACAAAGATGAAGCACTTTAACTGAGAGGATTAATGTGAGAATGTTCCTCAAGGGAACAAAAGCCTCGTACATGGCATCATATTCAAAATAAAAAAAGCAGAGAACCCTTTGGAGAGAACAAGAGTGTACAGGCTCCCACAGTGCGGCTGGCCGGGTATTTTCAGGCTAGCAACCGTGACGGCACCGAATTTTCAACAGGAATTTCAGGGTGCCCATCACATGGCTTCTGTTAACAGCACAACCCTTTCAAGCCTATCTTTAAAGGCATCAGACAAAAAAAGGATACAATCTTGGAATGAGTTCCCTGATGGAAGCGATCTTGAAAAACCAATTTAAGCACGTTTCTTTGGCCGTGTCATTTACATTCTCTGGAGAGAAGTGATCTGTAATACAAAAATAATATCCGTCAGCCCTCCCAATTCTCGGGATCTGTTTCAGTTGCCATGAGTCCTGGGATAGGGAAAGGTTACAATGGAGCAGAAGAAGGAGTGGGGTACCCAGAATTTCCATCTCTTTCCTTCCAAATATCATTATTATTATTAGGAAACAATTGGTGACAATGAGAGCTTACACACAGAGGCCTTCGAAGTGCCAGGCGCTGTTCAGAGTGCTTTACAGACGTCAGCTCACCTCCTTCCCCACCACAGCCCTCCGAAGTATCTACTTTTATTACCCTCTTTTATGGACACAGAGACCAAGCCCCAGAGAAGTTTAGTAACTTGCCCTGGGCACACAGCAAACAAATATAAGAGCTAGAATTCAACTCAGGCAGTCTGACTTCAGAGCCTACATTCTTAGCCACTGCCTCTAATATAATCCAGAGGTCTTGGTGTACCCACCAGTAACTATAGTGATATAATTGAGAATCCCAGATGCTTTAGGAACCTGCAACTCTAACATAAAATGTGAAGGAAGCTTGTGCTCCAAATATCACATGGGCCAGAGGTGAAGGTAAACCAAGGACCCGAGGCCAGAAACTAGCCAGAGTTAGGGTGCCAGCTCAATACTGGTTCTAAGACTTGAGTAGTGCCAAAAATGCCAGTTTCAACCATTATCTGTTCTCTTCCTCTTTAATCAGAGAATTCTCACTTTTTTGCTGGGCGTATGGCCATCCTTGCAGCTAGGTGTGGCCAAGCGGCCAAGCTCTGGTCCCAGGATATAAACAGAAGTACAACTTCTAAGAAATAGCTTTAAGGAAAGGGGCTTGACCTCTTTCACTCCTTCTTGCTGCCTGGAATGCAGATACGATGGCTGGAACCTCCATAATCATCTTGAATCATGAGAGCAAGAGAGAAGTCAGGATCCTGGGCACCACGGGCTGGCTGCCCCACCAGCCCTGACCTTCTTTGTTGTCATTTGGAGCTTCCTAACACTGGCAACCAAGCTTAATCTTTATGTACATCTTAATAAGGAATGGAAGAGAGTACAGAAAAATGAAAAAACAAACAAAAACTCTCATCAACACCAAGAAGGCCACTGTGGCACCCTCGCACGGAAATGATTTTTTCTACGTGATTTCCATACAGACTGGAGCCCGATCCCAGCACGGGACGTGCCGCACACATTTAGGATTCGATCAAAAAGGGAGAAGTTCATTACTTTAAAAGACCCAAGTGAAGGTCAGCCCGGTGGCTCTCATGTTGTGCAGGGGGTCATTTTTCGTTCCTGATTCTGCTTTCTGCTACTTGGTGGCACAAAATAAAGGTCATCAAAATTCCTAGGGAATCAGCAAAAAGATAAACCCCTAGGTACCTCACCAGCAGAGAACAGGCACTAATCACAACTGCAGATATTTTGGAATTGCAATCTCAAGTATTTATCTATTTTTGGATGTTCTAGCCTGCTTCATTCATTCCAGAATTATTCACTTGCCATTTTCAAAGGGAAGGGAAATTACCATTTTCCCTTTCCTGGCCTAAACCCGGGCACTTAAAGTAAGTTTTTTCAAGTTCCAAGAGACCCAGACAGGAAAAGATAAGGGTTATTCTTAAATTCACTTGTCAATCTTGCCTTGTGGAACAGGGAGGGGCGGGGTTAACTTCCCTTCATATGACTGAATCGTGAGACTTGAAACCCAAAACAAAAACAAGTCTCTGAGGTCATCTAATAAAATCCCTCACTTTCCAGCTGAGGGGACAGAGGTTCAGCAAAGGGTGGGACCGTCGGGATTCAGGTTTCTGAAGAGAGCTGGGAATCACAGGAAAGGCAAGCCACCACACGCATGCATATGGACTGCAAGCCACACAGTAATCTACATGCACCAACACACAGGCTGCTGGCTTTCCTTCCAGCTCGAGAGACGATGTAGGAAAAGGACTACATTATGCAGATAAAGTCTTTCAGCAAACTAAATATTCTATTCCTTTACTTCACTTGCTCAATGCAAATGTTTTAAGAACCAACTAAAGGTACTATTCCAGGCCCTGAAGAGGTAACAGTACATCAGACAGACCCTGTCCTCGTGAAGTTTACACGGGGGGAAAAAAACGTAATCAACAGGGAAAAGAATAAGCAAGGAAACAAATAAGACAATATCCAATAACAGTCAACACCATGAAAGATACAAAAGTAGGTATTAGAATAGAGGGTGACTTGAGTTGCGGGGGTTCATTAGATAGGGTAGTCAGAGAAGGCTCCTGCAGAGGTGACATTTGAGCTGACCCCCCAATTACAAAAAGGAGCCAGCCGTGCATAGATGTGGAGGAAACTATTTCCAGAAAGAGGAAACAGCAAGTGCAAAGGCCCTGCGGTAAGTATGACCTCTGCTATGGTCAAAGAGCAGGAACGTGGTGAGCAGGAAGGGGAGAAGCAGGCATCACAAACCAGGTTACACAGGGCTGCCACCTTGGTGAGAGTTCTTCTAAGTGTACGGGAACTCCACGAGTTTCTGAACAGAGGGATGGCATGACGTGACACAACATGATTCATACTCTAGCCCTTGGGCTGCTACATGGAAAATGAACTCAGAATTTGGAAATTAACTCTGAAGAGATTTCAGTGTGACAAAGAGCAGAGATTTTTCCGTCGAGTTCTCACTTATTTTTCTTATACGGTGCTTCTTTTCCAACCCTGAACTTCTGTGGATATGTTAGGAGGAGAGAAGGGACCACTTGCCAAGTCTCTGCCCCAGCGGTGAGAGGTCTCTTCACATAAAAGTGCTTATAGGGCTGTCACGTCATCTTAGCACGTGCCTGAAAGGCCAGGTCAGTCAAGGACGCTGCTCCCCCACATGCAGCCTCCGTCAGCCGTGGGGCAAAGCTGAAGAAGGGAATGCCCACAGCTGACGATGAGAACCACGACTCAATAACCCACATCGCTTCTCCCAAGATAGAAATGAAGTTACTTATCACTTGGAGTGGGTGGTCTCTGTACACATACGCTGGACTAAGAAACGTGGGCAAATTCCCACATCTCGCAGCGGGTACTTTCCGTGAACCCACAGGACACGTATCTTTCTAAACTCCTAAGAACTCCACCTGAGTTGAGGCTCCTGAAGGTAAAAGGCTCAAAGACGAAATTCACCAGTCAGAACTTGATTCAAGCGGACAGAATGAGTGCACAAGACAACAGATTTCTCTCTAAACCTAATTTCTTTAGGCAGAATTCGGGACGGATTTCAAAAGCTCTCCTCATAATTATTAAGAATCATCCCCAAGACGGCTGACATTTCTGAGAAGAGTCTGCCCCTTTCTCTTTCAGGTTCTTGGAACCAGAGGTAACACGTAGTAGATGAAGATTTTAACTGAAAGGGGAAAAAGAATGAAGAAGTTATTTTCAAGAAAACAAAAGCCAGATTTGCATCGCTCAGGGTGAAAAACAGAAACGGGAGAGTGAAGAACTTTCGTGATGGAAGTGCTATTAGTATACTTCGACAAGAACTGGAAGGGAATATGAAAATAGCCTTTTATCTCGAACTTTTCTAGTTTAGGCAGGGAGCAAGTTATTAGTCATTTTTCCTTCATTGGTCCTAAAATGTTGTTTGTAACTAAACTAGTGAAAATTAGGAAGAAGGAAAATGATTGCACTGGATGCAAACTCAAATGCCCCTGGGGGCCAGGCAAGTAATAGAAAGATTTTTAAGCAGGTAGACATACAACAGTAGGGAGAAGCAGCACCTGTACCAAAAGGCCAAATACCATTGCAGCCAAAGAAAACACAGATTTGAAACGGGTTAATTCCACCTACAGGCTGAGAGTTCACTGCTGCTGACAGAGCACATGGAATACCAGCTGGCAAGTGTACAATAAACTCATCCGGACTTCCCAAAGCCTTAAGCCGACACAGAGGCCCCTGCTCTCTGCTGGCCCCTGCCTACCTTTCCAGGCTCACGGGTTCCCAGTCTCGAGAAGCCTAGAACATGGGAGGAGCTGCTAAAAACCTCACAGGTGTGATGTGGTGGGGGGGCGATTTAGAGCAACAGCATTCAATAGAAACAGCATGTGAGCCCCGTTCAAAAAGGGAAAACAAAACAGGTGAAATTTTAATAATATACTTCATTTAACCCAATTTATCCAAAATATCATTTCAACATGTAGTCAATATAAAAAAAATTACTAGTGAGATACTTTATGGTCTTTTATTTGTGTTAAGTCTCTGAAATCCAGTGTATTTTTTAACACTCATAGCACATCTCAGTTTGGACTGGAAGCTCTCAAGCGTTCAAGAGCCCCACGTGACCGGGCCGCCATATTGGACGGTGCAGGTCCAGCGCTAAGAGCAAAGGCTCTCCACAGCTGGCAGCAGGACCATAGGCAAGCCCCTGACTCCCCCACAGGGGGTGGGCCCATCTATAATGAGACAAGATGATTCCTAAGAGCTGTGCTGGCCCTAAAGGTCTGTAGAGTTCTCTCTCTTTCTTTCTGAGAAACAGGAGTATTAAATAGTTTTCAAAACACAGACACATACACACATACATACGCATACATAGATGGGCAAAAGAAAGAATGAATGAATGAACAGGGGTCAAATTATGGGTCACTATTGCTGATGCCATCAGCTGAGTAGGAGCAGGAGGCTGCAGGATAACGTTTCCTACAGCAGCGCTGGGAACTTGAAGGGAGGGCTAAAAGGAAAAGGAAGCTGCTGCCGAGAGTTCCATGTGGCCAGACACATCATCATCATTTATATGACAAATGAAATTCATAATCTGGTTGTCCCATTATAAGCGCCTGAGAACTTGAAATTGATTGGCAATAAATTTCATGCAAACATCACTTGGGCAAAGACTGCAGATTCAAAGCATCTGTTGTTATTGATTTATTTGACATTGTTCTTTAATATATACAAAGTTGGTTTTTTAAAGCATTTTCTTCTTAGGAAAGCTATGCAGGGACAATATTAAAATGTCAAGCAGCAGGGGCTGGCCCCGTGGCCGAGTGGTTGAGTTCGCACGCTCCGCTGCAGGCGGCCCAGTGTTTCGTCGGTTCGAATCCTGGGCGCGGACATGGCACTGCTCATCAGACCACGCTGAGGCAGCGTCCCACATGCCACAACTAGAAGGACCCACAACTAAGAATATGCAACTATGTACCTGGGGGCTTTGGGGAGAAAAAGGAAAAAAATAAAATCTTTAAAAAAAAAAACAAACAGTCAAGCAGCAGAGGACATCAAGTTGGTGTGAAAGTTCAGCTGAATCTAATGATAATATATTTTCATTCTTGTGGATTCAAATGACTTGCCCAAATTCCTAGCCGGGGTGTTTGAAAACCTTCTAATGCTTTTAGAAGATTGAGACGGTCAGAAATCTGGCAAGGTGTTTCTTTTACTTTTAATACACCAAAAATAAACAACTTTATATTGGGTCTCAATAAATCCTGACTTGATATAAACCTTCCAATCCTGACGCCAGGGCAGAACGAAACCCAGGCAACAGCTATGACATTACCTGGTAAGACGCTGCGGTTATCCACACACATGGAGAAGATGCGCTCGTACACCAGCTTTCCTGGGGAGAAAAGGACAGATGGTCATGCTCTTCAGGAGCAAACAGTAAATAAACGTTTGTTAATTAGGGACAGAGATGGCGAGCGCTCAGACAAGCTTTAACTTGTTATAGTATGCCGCCACCTAGTGGGACACATTTTAAGCCACGTTTCTTTTGTTTTCGTTTATAATAGAAGAGGGGACTTTTACTCTCTGTGAGAGGCAGGAAAGTGATTCTTCTCCCGTTAGAGTCTTAACTGAAACCTGGGGCTAAAGGAGCCTCAGGCAGCTCCATCCACGCAATGGAGAACGGTCCAGCTCATACTCTAGCCAGAGGCTGTGAACGGGCAGCCTGAGGGCTGAATCCAGCCAGTGATCCGTTTTCTTTGGTCCACAACACAGTGGCCAACAAAGTGTTTTAACATTTTTTTGAGTTAGCTGCCAACACACAGAAACTGGGAGAATTCACATTAAAAACTGGATTTCCTGCGTCTTCACATACTATGTGCCAAAAACGGCCCATATCCCTATAGGATAAAAATGAGCTAGAACAGACTAGTAGCTGCCCCTGAAATGGCAAATATACTATTCAGTTTGCCACAGTCTCCACTGCTCCCTACTACCTCTCATCAACAACCTGCTTCACAATTATTTATGTGATTCACCTGGTCCTAGAAGCATTGCGATTTGAGATTTGATACAATGCAAGTTGTACGAGGGCAGAGATTTGTGTGTTTTGTCCGCTGACACATCCCCAGGACTAGATCAGTGCCTGGCATATAGTGGGTGCTTAATCTTTGCTGGATGGATAGGTGAACATATTCTAGGTTGTGTGGGTCACAGGTCACTATCGCAACTCCTCAACTCTACAGTTGTAGCTCAAAAGCAGCCACAGACAAAAGTCAATACATGAATGTGGTTGTGTTCCAGGAAAACTTTATTTCCAAAAATAAGTGGGCAGTCTGGACTTGGTTTACAGGCTAACCCCTAACCTAGCACAAAAAGATTTATTCTGTGCACATATTTTGGAAAATGCTATCAATATTCGAGGGATAAAAATTATAGTTCCATTCATTTCTGGATCCTCCCAAATCACCTTTCATGTCAAAAGTATTTCCCTGTGCTCATCTTTTCCCCTATAACCCCATCATTCAGGGCAGTGAAGAACCTTATACCTTGTCCACACAGGGAAAAAGAGACAGGATTGTTATAAGGACCATTTCTGGTCAAAGAACGTAAGATCCAGTGACATCATCAAGAGACAACATGATGCCAGAATTATGTGCAGGAAGCCAGCCAAGCAAAGAGGAGCCACACAGGCCTCTCCCCTAGTGTGGACCACTTCCATTACCATCACATCAAGACACCTGTTGCAAACGTACATTCCTGGGGCCCCCTCAGAGATAGTGGAAAAGAGGATCTTGTGGGGTGAGGACTAGGAATATAAATTTTGAATAACTGTGCTGGGAATCCTTATCCACACTCAAGTGTGAGAACCACTGATTTAGGCAGGCACCATGGGTCTCTGAGCTAAGACTTGCCTTGGGTGTGGGGATCGCTAGAAACTGCGAAAAGCCTTGCTCCCTGCTCCAGTGATTCTCAACCATGGCTGAACACTCAGAGCTCCTAGGCCGCCTGTGAGTATGCGGACGGCTGTGTCCATCCTCAGAGGTCTTGATGTGAATGGTCTGGGGTGATGCACGACCCTCTGGAATGGTTTTAGAGCTCCCCAGGTGTGCAGCCAAGGATGAGAAGCATGGCTCCAAACCATCAACTCAGTTCAGAAGTTCCCAGGGAGCCTGAGGGAAGCAGCCCCAGTTGTCAAAGCCACCTGCCTCTGTCACTGGGCAGAAAGCGTTTGGTCACCTGCAGCCACAGCTGCTGCCGAGAGGCCTCCTCCGAGATGAGCAGACAGAACCCCCCCGCATCGGGGCTGCACGCATTCTGACCCCAGGCCATCACAGCAAGCCCAGCTGGGCATAACTTCTCACTCCTGTGGTGTGCAGACAGGCCTTAAGAGCACAAATGTCTTTACTTCCTCTGCAAAAAGCTTGCCATCTCTCTCAAACTAGCTTTCTTAAAAAGAAAACAAAAAACAAAACTACTTTTTATATTCACCTTCATATTCTAAGGGGCCTTTAACTATAAAATCACTTTTGGCCAAATAAGTTTGGTGAATTTTTCTTCCTTTGTGAAGTTAGCGGACAACAGTTTTGACAATAATACCCAATCCTAGATTTACCTCCTTTCTCGATTCACGTTCTTATGAATTAAGGACACTAAAACAGACAAGCAAGGACAGTGCTAACAGCTAACATTTTCTGGGCATGCACTTAGTGCCAGGCACTGTTCAGAGTCGTTGACACCGACTCTGCCCGCAAGCTCTGCCACACAGCCCTGCAGGCCTCTGGGCACGCAGGCAGGGGCTCCGGAGCCCAGCTCCGTGCTCGCTGCCTCTCTCAAAATGACAGTCCAGCATGCATCTTCCCGCTGCTGATGCCCAGGCCATGTCCCACACCCTGCCCAGCAACATGCTCCAACCCTTGGTCAGTCATGTCAACAACCAGTGAACACCTGCCCCTGTACCATCGCGCACCTTTCTACGGAGCAGAGAGTAATGACGATGCTTGCAAGATGGGCCCAGCACCCCGAGTTTCCACCCACGCATGGCTGAGTTCCACTCTTGTTTAAAAAGTGGAACCTGCTCATCAGGCCAAAGCATGAAGTCTCCTAGGGCACCAGCAGACACAGCCTGCCCCAGACCTGAGGAATGTTATCCACAACAGATTCAGACAACAGCACTGCTGGGAAGACCACCCAAAGTGGGGAAGGGGGTAGCTGCTGAAAGCAGGGAGCTCACCTGAATGCTCGGTTTTGAATAGGAAAAGCATTCCCACGGTTCTAACTCAAAAAGGCTGCGAAGGTAGTGAACGGGTTTCTCTCCCAGCCCGTCCCCATCCACACCCTCTGCAGGTTTCCACTTTTATTAGCTTCTTGGGTATGCTTCTAATGCTTCTTTAGGCAAACACAAGCGAATATGAACAAGCATTCCAATTTTTCCTCCCTCCTTACACAAAACAGAGCACACTCTATAGCCAGTCTGCAGCTTGACTCTGTCACGTGACGACACCCCCGGAGATCTCCCTGGCGGAGCACAGAGCCCATCCTCACTCTCAGAGGCCTCCTGGTGCTCCAACAGACACATGTATCATCATCTATTTAACTGGTGCCCTACTGAGGGCCACTTGGGTTCTAATCTTCTGGAATCACAAATGGAATGAATTCCCAGAGGTGAAGTTGCTGGATTAAAGGAATACAAATTTATAATTTTCAAGGAGAGGAGAGATTCCCCCGTGAGCCAAGTAGAAGAGAAATAAAGCAAGTGCTCTGACTGTGCAGAGAACTCACTTTGAGTCCCAGCTCTGCCACTCACTACCCTTGCAACCCTGGGCAAGCTACTTTACTCTCTGTGCGTCAGGCTCCTCATCCGTGAAATGGGCACAATTACAGACCCGACCTCACAGGGGGCTGTCACGAAGACGACGTGACTTACTATTCTAAAGCACCTGGGTCAGGCCCAAGGACATTATTTGTTGAGGGTTTATTACCGTTATTCTCAACTCCCAGCCCGGCTAATTTCTGCGACACAGCAAGGAGGCAGGCATCTGCACCGCATCCCAGCTTGCTGAGGTATGGGCCTGGGACGCCACCAGCAGAGGCTGCAGAAGGACTGCCCAAAATCCTCGCAAGGTTAACGTCTGGATCGAGCCAGGCCTGCAGGCTAGAGACTGGATCTTATCGGTGTCCCCAAGCTAGTCTTGCTCAGGGATGCTGACTCATGCAAAAGAAACTTGCAGGAGGCTGGCGAGGGAACCCAGGAGGCCAAGGTGTTAATTCACCACAAGAAACAGAACTGTCAAGAGAACCAGATACAGGCAGGGGCCTCTTTCCCTGACTGACGTCCTCGCTCCCTGAAGGCAAGCTGTGTATGAGGACAAGGCGAGGCCCAAGGAGCGTGTGACTTGATACCTATTCTGAGGCCCAATGCATCCATCCATTCTGGATCACTTCTCCCATCTCCACCACCTCCCTGGGTCCATGCCACCCTCATTCCTCACCTAAAGGGCTACAATGGCCTCTTATCTGGGCTGCCTGCTCCACCCTCACCCTACAGTCTAATCCCAACCCAGCAGCCAGAGAGAGCCCATTAAAACCCAAATCAGATCGTGTGTCTTCTCTGCTTAATACCCCTGGTGGCTCCTCATGCCCTCAGGGTCAGAGCCCAAGTCCTTCCAATGTCCAAGACTCTGGCCATGTCAGCTCCTGCGCCACCAACCCCTTGCTCACCCGACTCCAGCCACCCAGGCCTTTCAGTTCTCCAAACCTGCCAGACCTGCTCCCACCTCAGGGTCTTTGCACTGGCTGTTCCTTGGCCTAACCCAGCCCCATGTTGCCAGCATGTGGCTCATCTCTCCCCTCCTTCAAGTCCTTGCTCACAACTCCCCTTCTCAGCGAGGCCTCCTCTGACCACCCTATTTAGAAGCACAGCCCGCCCCCACTCCTGCCTGCTTCCCTCAATTCCCCTCACCCTGCTGTTTTATTTTTCCTCCATATCCCCAATCACCATTTAACATACAACCAGGTTTACTTCTTTGTTCTGTAAATCCTCTCTTACCAGCCTGTAAGCCCACAAAGTCAGGGATTTTTGTCTCTAATTTGCTGACACATCCTCTGCGCCCAGCAGAGTGCCTGACGCCCCCTCTCCAGGACATCTGAACCCACAGGTCCTGTCTTTTAGCTGGGACATCTCTTCTTTTAGCCCAGCTGGCTCCCATTCCCCTTGCTTCTGGCCACTGCATCACCTTTCTTCTTCTGGGGTGACCCAGGCCCAGACCACCTGCATATTTCATCCCTGATGCCATGACTGGCTCAGGGACCGACACGTGATCCCAGCCAGGCCAACGGGATGGGATCCCGGGACTTCCGTTGGAATGCTTGGAAAAAGAAGCTCTTCCTTGTCCTAGGACTAGTGGCAGCAAAGCTGACAGAAGCTGAGGACACCTTGTGGAGCCTGAGAATGAAGCCAACCCAAGGGAGAGCACTAGAAAAAGTCAAGGTCCTGAAGACATCGTTTGAATTCCTGAAGCCAGCTGTACCCGAAACCAGAAACTACCCCTGGACTTTTCAAAATAAACCAATAAATACCCGCTTTTCCAAGACTAGTATGAATCGGATTTTCTATCACTTCTTCTAACTAATATACTCAGGTCTCCGGTCACCTGTGCAGAAATAAATGGGTCTCTCCGAGTGACAGTTTGTTTTCTGACACATGAGATCTTTCAGTGGGTTACAGACAAGACTTGCCGGGTTGGCAGCCCATTGGTCGTTCCTCAGTAAGACAGCGAATGTGTGTTCTGATCTCCTATGTGTCCGGCTCTCAGAAGACAACTGGTTCCCAGTTATTATGGGCACCTCGACGCTAGACATCACGTACAGCCTAGAGGGCTGCGTGGTTTGGGCAAACTGTTAATGGCATGATGCTCTGGCCACTGACCACCGCCAAGTAGCACAGAGGCCTCTTGTTTCTCCAGAGGAGCTCCAGGTTATCCTCTTCAGTCTAGACCCCTCTGCTGGGCCCCCAAAGATCATTCTGCCTGAGGGCTGGAGCGTGGGACAAGCAGCAGCCACTCTGATACAGGAAGACCTCATAGGAGCTGCAGCCGTCACCCAGGAAGGAGAGGGGCGTGGATCGGACTAAGGTTTTAACAGTGAAGAGGGAGAAAAATGGACACAACGGGGAGAGATTTCGGAGGCTGAACTGAAGAACCTGGTGATAGACTGGACATGGGGTAATGGGTGGGGAGAATCTCAGATTTCCCACTGGGGCAATGGGGTACATTCCCCGACACAGAAACCCACTGAAGGTATGGAAGGGGCTGGGAAGAGATGCCAAGTTCAGTTCTGAACAAAGCGAGTTCCAGATGCCATGAGATGGCGACGGACCCGAGCTGGTTTAGACCAGACGTGTGCCCCCCGAGCCGCTTCACTCGCTCACTTTACTTACCTACCAGAAGGTTAGAAAAAAATCTAATTTAAGACTCTTACAAAAACAGCACCTTTGTTAATGAGCATGGGGGGAAGGGGCGGGGCTGGTCTCTCTCATGGTTTACCTAATTACTTAAACCGCCACGGAGCCTAACTTAAAGCAACTCTGCCGCCCAACTTCTGGCACAACAAACGTATTTCCTAAGTCTACGCAGAACGACTCCACTTACCAAATGTATCAAGGATGTCGGTGATGAGGACAAATTTGCTTGGGTAGAACTGAATAACGCTTGTGTCCGAAAGAAGCTTCGAGCACTAGAACAAGAGAAGAGAAAATTTACTGTTGTGTTTGACTTGAGTGGAACGCTCCAGGCCTGGAAACCTAAGGATTCCTGCACAAAAGTGCCAGCGCTTTCCACGGACCAAGCGTGTGCTAGACACTGGAGAGAGAAAGATGCGCAATACCATAGCACCTTCAACAAAGGGAGCCAGAGGCTGCTCCCGACAGAGCCTCTTTCGGAAGGCACTGCCACCTCCCTCCAGGAAGGCCACAGGACTGAGGAACCTTAGCCAGAAGGGTCTCTGTTCATACACTGGACCAGGGTCACACCGAAAGCCACGGAGGGAAGTCACTGACACCTCGCCCTCCAGGGGCTTGCAGACGACTCAATCCTTGTTCCAACTGCTCTTCAGCATGGCTTCCTCTGGTTTATTTCAGGATGGTCTCGATTCTTAAACGCTCTCTTCCAGGAAATGACCCCGTAAGTAAATCTCCAGGGTTTCTTACACGAGCATCTGTTATTGATTCTCACTCCCATATTCCCCTCAAAAAGAAACAGGGCAAGCTTCGAGTACCTGTTTCTCTGGAACTATGACCTTCGACGCTGGGAACATTTCGGCTTTGCAAGGAATTGCTCAATCCCTATAGTGTCACTTGTGCCAGAGGGCCATCGACATGCTCAGGACTCTTAAGGAAGACTGCAGCCACACACAGCGGCCCAAACACCCCAGATTAAGTCAGCTTTTATAATCAGAAACAGAAAACCTACTTCTATTTTGAAGAACTACATTTAATGCGTCCAAGTCTTCACAAATTCAAAAGTCTGCATAAGGAACTAAATCACCCTGCCATACTTTGTCATTCCAGTGGCTGACTCTCAGATAAACGTCACTTAAAAATAAAAAAACATTTGGACATTTAGAAAGGGTCCTTTAATATGCATTTCCAAGGGCAGAGAATGGTTCGAAAGTTTATCCGATCCAGAGGCAGGCTGACACTTTGGCGTTGTTACCCAATCTAATGTCTTCGATTCACCAAGTTTCTCCCTAGCATTACAGTCTAAAAGTAAACAACGTGTCTAATTTGTGAAACATCCTCTCACAGTCCAAATGTTACTGGGGGTGGAGGCGGAGGGGTGAGGGGAACGTAAGCTGTGAAAACAATGGTGTTGACACCAACGTGGCATTTGGATGGACCTAGAACTCCATTTCCTGATGCCTCGCTTTGTGTTTTTCAAATGCCCTTTATGAGAGCTCCAACTTAAACAACACCCCCGTGAGATTTCAGGGCTTGGAGAAGACAAACAACTCGGAATCCTAGAGACTGTTGACAGTACACAGCTCTCGGTTCCCAGGGATGTGACATCTCCCCAGCTCCTACCCAGGGCCCCTCGGAGATGAGCGGCTGCCCGCTGGTGAGGTGAGAGAGAGGGAATTCAAACAGAAGACTGCAAATTAAACACAGCTGGCGCTGCACAACATCTGTGCACTGATTTTCCCCCAAGCTGGTGTCACAGAACATAGGTTTTACGAAGGATAACAGGAAGCAAAAGTTTTCTAATCCATAGTTAAAGTCATCATAATGTTATAAATCGGAGTTAGCTATTAAATCGCTATTTTCAAGATTCTAGTTTTTTGAAGCTTTGGTGAGGTTTCCTCAACTTGTCCTGTAAGAATCAGGCACCCCAGGGTGCGTGTTAAAAAACAGATTCCCTGCTCGACTCCAGACCTCCAGCCCAGGCAGCAGGGAAGCAGTATTTTCAACGAGGGCTCCAGGGATGGTGGCACTGAAACCAGCCTGGGACCCACGGGGCTCGTGATAGCCACAATCCGCAGCACACTCTGAATGGACTGAGCCTTCTGTAAACCAGGTGTTCTCCACTTCGGAACCATCCAGGGGGCTTTTAACAATGACGGCAGCTGGGGCCCACTCCCAGAGACTCTGATTAAACTGGTCTGGGGTGCAGCTTGTACTCACATTTTTTAAAGCTCCCATGTGATTCTAATGTGCAGCCGAGGCAGAGAACCATTGTCACACACGTTTCCTGAACAACTGACGGATAAACTACTCTGCTTGAAATACCTGCTATCAAACTTATTAATGTTGCTGGAAAAATACAAAAAGGATTTTTTCATTTATTTCCAATTAGCAATATTCTAGAAGGACACTAGCAGTTTCTAAAATTAAGTTAGGGTTAAAAAGGAATCTGAATAGCCAAAGCAAATGTATAAATTAAAAGATAATTTATGGCTGAGTACTAAGGAAGAATGAATGGATGGATGAAAGGAAGCAGAATAATTAATCAGAGGATAATTATTACCCAAGATATAATGAGAAAAAATCTGAAAAATTGTGAAAATTAATAAAGGGAAATCTTATTTAAAATGGAGGCAGGAGGCAGGAGGCCAGAAGGGGGAGCTCCCATGCAGTACCACTTGAGGTCAACTACAGGAAAGATAGTCCATTACAGACCCCAAAGGAAGAAGTCCTCAACAGGAGGGATTGTTAACTACGGGAAGAAATGTACACTGCATCCCAAGCAGAAATCCACTAGCCTAGCAGCTAGCCAATAAGAGCGTGTCATCACCCTGAACTCCCACTTTACTCCTATGGACTTTCCTTCAAAACAACCCATCCCAACTTCCTCCTTTTTCTCTGTAAAATACCCTTCCTCTTCCTTGTTTGTTAGATTTGCATATGGTCCGCCACAGCACACACATCCCAAACTGCAATTCTTTGGCTATTCTCGAATAAACTCGTTTTGAATAAACTAGCTGTTTTATTTTTAAGGTTGACAAAAATCAATAAGAAAAATACAAATAACATAATGGAAAAATGAGCAAAAGGAATCAACAAAAGGCATTTTACAGAAAAGAAAACTGTAATGGCCAATAAACATGTTAAAAGATGCTCCATCTTATTATAATCAGGGAACTGCAAATTAAAACCACAATAAAATATGATTTTATTACCTCCCAAATTGGGGAGATTAAAATAGAAAGTCTGCTCATACCAAATGTTGGCAGGATGCTGAACAGCACAGACCCTCACACTTCCACTGCTGCTACGAGAAGACACTGGCACAGCTACTGTGCAAAATAATCTGGCACCATCCAGTAAGGATGAAGAGGCAAACACCCTAGACCTGAGCAATTCCACTCTTAGGGATGGGCCTTCATCTAGAGAAAGGCCAGCAGACACGTCCAAGAGTGTGCACACAACGTCGTTCACAATAACGAAAAAAGAAAAAGAATAACAAAGAACCAGATGCCCATCAACAGAAGGAATAATACAGAATTTATGCATCAGTGGACTAACTATTGTTAAGCTGGTAAATCTCTCCAACTGATCTGCAGGGTCAATGCAACCTCTATCAAAATCCTACAAGATGGGGGGGGGGGGGGGGGGGGGGGGGCGGTGAAATTGACAAGATGATCCTAAAAATCATATGGAAATGCAAAGGACCCAGAATAGCCAAAACAATTTTAAAAAAGAAGAACAAAGTTAAAAGATTTACACCACCCAGTTTCAAAACTGACCATAAAGCTACAGTAATCAGGACAGTGTGATTGGCAGTGTACTGGCATAAGGACAGACTTACAGAGCTATGGAACAGACTTGAGAGACTGGAAATAAATCCTTATACTTATGATCAACTGACTTTTGACAAAGGTGCCAAGATAATTCAATTGGGAAAAGACAGTCTTTTCAACAAATGCTGCTAAGAAAATTGGATATCCACGTGCAAAAAAAAAAAAAAGCTTAGACCCTTATACCACACACAAAAATTAATTCAAAATGAAGCACAGACCTAGATATAAGAGTTAAAACTATAAAACTTTTAGAGGAAAACAGAAAAAAATTCTCATGACCTTGGGTTGGGCAAACAGTCTTAGACACAACTCCAAAAATAAGCCAAAAAAGAGACAACTGACAAATTGGACTTTATTAAAATTAAAAATTTCTATACTTCAAAAGACACTCTTATGAAAATGAAAAAACAAGCCACAGACTAGGAGAACATCCGTGGATCATGTTTGATAAAGAACTTGTATCAAGGATATATAAAGAATTGCTACAACTCAACAAGAAGATAAACCACCTGATTTTAAAAAAGGGCAAGTGTTGAATAGACATTCACTAAAGAATATAAAAATGGCCAATAAGCATATGAAAAGATGCTCAACATCATTAGTCAGTAGGGATGCACAAATTAAACTACAGTGAGACACCGCTTCAAACCCACTAGGATGGCTATAATCAAAAAGACAACAAGGCCTGTTGGAAAAGATGTGGGATAACTGGAATGCTGGTGGGAATACAAATGGCGCCACCATTTTGGAAAGCAGTTTGGCCATTTCTCAAAAAGTTAAACATAAGCTTACCACGCAACTGAGCAATTCCACTCCTAGGAATCTACCCAAGAAAAATGCTAATGTTCACAGTAGCATTATTCATAACAGCCAGAGTGGAAACAGCCCAAATGTCCATCAACTTGTTAATGGATAAGTAAAATGTGGTTATCCACACAATGGAATACTATTCAGCAGTAAAAAGTATAAAGTACTGATACTACAATATGGACGAACTCAAAAACACTGCTAAGCAAAAGAAGCCAGATACAAAAGATTATACATTCAATGATCCCATGTCCAGGAAATGTCCAGGAAAGGCAAACTTATAGAGCCAGAAAGCACATCAGTGGTTTTCTGGGGCTGGAAGTGGCAACAGAGTTTGACTGCAAACAGGCTTAAGGGAATTTGGCGGGGGTATGAAAATGTTCTAAAAGAGGACTGTGTAATAGTTGCACAACTCTATAAACTTACTAAAACTCACTGAATTGTACACTTACAATGGTGGATTTTAGGATATGTAAAATATATCTCAATAAAGCAACAAAGCAAAACTAAACCAAAAAGACCTACCGCAGAGCAAATAAAGTGAACGCACTCATTCCCCCACTCTGCACCCGGGCCATCATCTGCGGATAAAGACGGCTGTCTTTAAAGGACAGTCGGCCCTCGCTCTCCACGGGTTCCACGTCCACAGATTCAACCAACAGCGCCCACGATGGCTGCGTCTGTACCCAACACGTACAGACTTTATTTGCTTGTCATTATTCCCCAAACAACACAGTACACCAACCATCTACATAGGTTTGCATTGTATTAAGTATTATAAGAAACCCAGAGATGGCTTAAAGCATACAGGAGGATGCACATTCTACGCCATTTTACATAAGGGACTTGAGCACCCTCGGATTTCGGTATCCGTGGGGGTCCTAGAACCAAGCCCCTGCGGATACCGAGGGACGACGGACCGCATTGAAAGTAAAACAATTCCTATTAACCAGATGTGGAGTTAATTAAACACTTTCCTGGTTATTTTCTTTGAGAAGACATGAATCAAATCTCCTCCAGATGTAAAACTCTTAGAAGTCACAGTTCTATACTACAATATGGAGAGATGTTGCCAGTAAAAATATTGTGAGGACGTGCTTGTTGGTTGAGATATTTCTCACTTGAGCCACTCAGCAAGCAGCTCCTCATGTGCATCCAGGATGAGAGGCCCGCTTCTTCAAGAGTATCTACCTTGAAAACTAACAACCGTGATCGAAGAGAAATGGGCTTGGCTTTGCCCGTCTCATCAAACACACAAAACAGCACCTGCCAGACCAACTGTCATCTGAAAAGACTTCCGGTACCCGGCGTAGAGTCTCCCAGACTCTCTTCAGTCTCTCTCGAGACAAGCAGGTGAGAAAACAAACGTCCCATCGCCATGACACTGAACGAGAATGGCATCTGTCCTTTTCAACTAAAATAGCTGTTCAGAAATTAACGGTGCTCTGAAATCCGAATGCTTACATCATTCCTTTTACAGTGCACTTCTGGCCATGGTTTGCCACGATGATCTTAAGAGTCAAGAAATAAAATAAGATGTTTTTCTTACAGAACTAGCTTCTGTGATCCAAGAGTTTTCATTAACAAAGAGGATTCAACAAATGTCCCTCTCCTAACACTGTAAACATGTCTTCTTAGTCCCGCAATTATGCAGAATAGGACTCAAAAATGCATGTATCAGGGACACACAACCATCAGCCCCACACATACAATGATCTGGTCAAGGAAATCCAAAAGACAGTTGTTCAATCTTTAGTCTACATAAATCATAAATACATCAGGGTTGTACCGGGGCCAATGAACTATACAACCCAGAGGCACCATTAATTCTGTAATTTAGGGTGAATTTCCTGGAATTGGCCAGTGCACAACCTGTGCAGCTGCACATGGTGGCCCTGGATTAGCCATCTCATGAACACACAGATTTGTAATCATGGCCTTTCACAGGAAGTATGTGAAAATGAAACAGAGGAAAAAAATAGGGTAAGACCCTGAAGGCAGGCCTCTGAAAACCCTAATTATCTACAAAGGAGTTTTACATAGGAAATTCTGAAAGAAAAAAAGAAAAACACTAGAACTGACCTGGATGACTATTTTTAGAGCCTTCACTTTCTGGTCTGAGGCCCAGGCGTCTTTCAGAGACTGGTTGAGCTCCTCTATGCGGTTCACGTAATCCTGCTGAGTCAAATTCAATAGCTCCTTTTGGGATCCCTGTGGGCACAAAGGAGGAGGATGTAGGCACAAAAGGAAAAACATTGTGGGACCACTGCCCCCAGGAACGACACTCAGTGTCAGCTGAGCGCCAGCTCTAAGTTTCCCTCACCCCCACAAGGATGGCTAGTTTTGTCTTGGGATCAAAGAGGTTCTCTGAGTTTTCTGCAGCGACAGACAGCATGCAGTGACTGAGGCAAGCCAGCCCTAAGCCAAAGCCCAGCTCAGCCTCCTAGCAGCAGGACGGTTCTGCGTGAGCTGCTTCCTCCCGGAGCCTCGTCCGTGCACACGGATAACAAGACTCACCTTACTCAGCAAACTGTTACTGGGGCCTGCTGTGCGCCAGGCATGATAGACCAGATGCTCGAGACACAAGGCGAGCAAGGAGACGTTACTCCTGCGCTACTGGAGTTTAAGGTACAGAGGCCGAGACGGATGTTCACACAAACTGAGATAAGTGCTCAGGAGAAGACAACAAAGACACACATCGCACTCAGCAAACTGGAGGTGCCCATTGTTTCACGTACCACTAAGGAAGAAAAAATGCTGATCGCTGACAGGCAGCAACTGAGAGACACTGCCCAATTCCAGGGATATTCAAATATAGGGGAGGGGCCAGCCCAGTGGCCTAGTGGTTAAGTTTGTGCACCCTGCTTCAGTGGCCCAGAATTCGTGGGTTCAGATCCTGGGTGCAGACCTACACACTGCTTGTCAAGCCATGCTGTGGCGGCATCCCACATACACAGTAGAGGAAGACTGGCAGATGTTAGCTCAGGGACAATCTTCCTCAAGTGAAAAAAAAAAAGAGGAAGGTTGGCAACAGATGTTAGCTCAGGGCCAATCTTCCTCACCAAAAAAAAAAAAATTTTTTTAAATGTAGGGGGAAAGGTTCATCTTAGAACGGAAGAAATACAGTCACAAAGGAATGGACTCTAGACTGGTGGTCAAGAATGCTTTCTTGGAGGAAGTGACGCTTGAGACAAACTCTCAGTGGTGTACAGGAGTTAGCCAGTCAATGGGAGGTGTTAACTAGACCAGGGAGAAAGCATTTGGGACAGTGAGTACACCACAGCGAAAACCTGGGGCAGAGGACATTGAGATGATCACACGGCTGAAATAACAATGTATGTAAAGACAGCGCAGCCCCTGGCACACGGGACATGGTCGTTAACACCGGCTATGGTCAAGGTGCTATTTACACAGCTCACAGGAGTGAGGGTCACGCTAATCTGCACGAGGCGCCCAGGAACCAAATCATTTTTATATGAACATTCCCTGGAATGTAAGTGAAGAATTCTTTATTAAAGAAATACAAGTAGAAGGTTCAGGAAATTTGGACTGTGAGATAGGGTCCTCCCTGCCCCTCTGCAGTAGGAGAAGCCACGTGACTAGTTTGGGCAAATGGACTGTGAGCAGAGTGGCGTGTGTCCCCTCTGGAGGGAGGAACTGAAAAGTGACCCTTTCTTCCGCTCTGCTGTGACAAGCCTGGAAGCCATCTGTTGAGGTGGAAGCATCATGAGATGCTGGTGTGTCTGCCACCTGCACCAGATGAGTAACGTGAGGAAGAAATAAACCTTTGCTATATTAAGCCACTGAAATATGAGAGTTCATTTGTCACCACAGCATAACCTAGCCTTAACCCTGACTGATACTCTACGTTAACCTGGAAGCCACAGGGCAGCCGTCCGCTGCTGTGAGCAGGGAGAAGCAAGGAAACCAGCCTGCAGGGAGAAAATGGGGCACTAGAAAGAGACAGTGACTAGAGTCTACATGGATCTGAGAGAGACAGAGGACAGCTGACAGGCTTCTGGGTGGTTCTGCAGTTCCTGGTTCCAGGCCACTGTGCCCTTGGCTTCAGGGTAGTGCCCCTGCCGCCTGCGCTACAGTCCCCAATTTCAACTTGAGCCAGTTCAAGCGACTTTCAGATACTCAGACTTTGATTAAAACCCTCAGGAACTCCCTTCCTACCAGCCAAGGCTGGCGATGCCAGGCAGCCTGAGGCTCTTGGGCAGCTTAATTCAACATGTGTCCTTTCTGAATTGAGAAGACAGACCTTGGACTATCAGACTCTGCTGAGCACCCAAGAGCTCTGGTCTCAGAGCGGGGAGGACCCTGAACCCCAGGGCAAGATGCAGGAGAGCAAAGGCAACCCCATGAGATGGCCTTTTGTGGATTTCGAAGCAGCCCCATGGTCCACACAACTCTAGTGTTCATCCCCTTTTTTAGATGACGGAATGCGTATAGGAAAGGTGAGCCCCCCAGGGCACCCTGTTAATAAGCAGTCGAGCTGAGGCATCTAGACTCAGGAGGGTGACGGTGACAGCAGCTGAGGCTTGCAGGGGATGTAACATGTGCCGGGACTGTTCTAAGCTCTCCCTCTACATTAACTCATTTAACGCCTGTAACAATCCTAAGAGGCAGGGACTATGCAGCACCCCCATTTTACAAATAAGTAAACTGAGGCACAGGCCTGTCAAGCACCTTGCCCCAAATCACAGAATTACCAAACACTAGAGCCAGGATTCAAACCCAGGCAGTCTGGCTCTCACCCATGACGCTGTGCTGCTTCTCTGCAGAGTATTCCAGAGGACACAAACCCTCCGGTCTCCAGGGGCCGGGTTAGTAATGTCAGGGAGGAGCGTGCAACCCGGACAGTGCATGCCCTGCTTAAGTGCAAGAATGTGGGTCCACAAGTATCAGGTGGATTTCAAGAGAAGCCAGAAATCTGGATTAATATGTTAAATTTACGAATTTTTAAGAGTTGGCAAATGAGTCGTGTTTTTTATAAGCACGTGCAGGCCAATTAAGAGATTCCCATGGGCCACATCCAGCCAGCAGAGCAGCCGTGTGCAGCCCCTGCAGAAGTGTCTGATCCTTATACTACGCAAGGGGGTTCCCAGGGAGGTGGCTCCAGTTGGCTTTTACAGTTAAATCCTGTCCCCAGACGACCCAGCTTGCTCAGGCATCAGTGAGAAAAGATGCCTTCAAAACCCAGCCCATGGCAGGCTCCTGCGAGCTCGGCCAACTGCACCGCTGGCATCTTTCCCTGGATCAGTCGCTGCCTCAGGAGGACCGAGCACAATGCTCAGCTCCAGAATTAATCACAGAGCAGCCACTGAGACTGATCTCACTTGGCAGAAGAAACAAGAGCACGGCTCCTCCCCGGGCTCAGCACATGACCTCCTCACCTCCTCAAAGTCATCCAGCTCCTCCAGCCTGGTCCGAACCTTCTCCGACATGGCGGATGTGGCGGTCCCGGCTTTGCCTAAACAGAAGGGATTCATGTCACACAGGTGGCTTTCCTGTCACCAATACCCCCACAGGAAGGCATCTTTCCCTCTACACTTCATCATGAATAAAGAGGCCAGGGAACAATTTTATTACAGAAAACTCTCCAAGATTTTGAAAGCAATGTCCTTAGTAACCAGAGCTCCATCGGAAACATTTCTGCTTAGAAGCTGCCCCTGGGAGCACAGCCTGCCAACCTCAAAAACATTCCACTACACTCGATATTTACAAACTTTTCACTGCATCATTTGTTTAATCCCAAAGAAAGACAGTCCAGATAAGGATGCCAAAAATCCTTCATTTAATTGTTTTCCATGAACAAAAGGGCCTCTCAGGCTCGTACTCACAGTGTAGAATTGTACCCTTATCCTAGCAAAACAACACTCTCACTGTCTGCCCCGGAGCGGGAAACACTAGGGCTTCAAAGCCCTCTCTTCAAGCAGACAAGGCTAGCTGTGCCTCCTTCCATCATCTGGCAGCACAACTCTCTCCATCGGCAAGGACCGGCGGAGAGAGATGAAGGCGAGAACTCCAGGCCGGGGGCCAGCCGCAGGGCAAGGCTATCTGTCCAGCTGGCTGGTGCTCGCCAATGTCTCCTATTTCAGAACACTTTCCCCTTCTTAAGGGGGCTTCTCTTCTAGAGCTGAGGTCCCTTTACTCCTGCCTACCAAACTCACTCTCCAGGTTTATCTTTTAAGGCACTGGTTTCTCAGCTAGCACTGACTCACAGACATGTCTGGGGTCCCCCGAGAGCACGGCACTACTATTTACTTACTAACCACTGCTAAAGTGGAGAAGTTTCCAAATAATCTACCTTTTTTTTTAACCTTGTTTCTACTTTTTCCTTCCTTTTGAAATACATATAGAACACGCATACGTGTACATTTTAACAGATCGTTACAAGACCTTTGTAACCACTGCCCATATTGTCTTGCTTCTTTTATTCACCACTAACTCTAGTTCATGAAATTTACCCATGTTGTTGCACAGAGCTGAAGTTCACTCATTTTCACTGCTGTTTAGCATTTTCCATTGTGTGGACACGCCACAATTTATTTCTTATTCTACCGTCGATGGATGTTTGGGCCGTTTCCTCTTTGGGGCTCCTAAGAACAATGCTGCTGTGCACATTTCTGAGCATGTCTCCTGATTCACATATGCATGCATTTCTTGAGGGCAGTGCTTCTCAACTTTTAAAGGGATCACTGGAGGACGTGTTAACATGCAGATTCTGATTTTCAGTAGGTTGGGGGCAGGTCCTGAGATTCTGTATTTCTAATGAGCTCCCAGGTGATACCAATGCTGCCAGTCCTTGGACCACATGTTAAGAAACATGCATTTGGGCTGAGTCGGAAAAACACTTTTTGTAAAGAGACAAATAAAGCTATTTAGGTTTTGCAAGTCATAGAGTATCTGTCGCAACTACTCAACCCTGCCATTGCAGCACAAAAGCATTCCTAGACAATATGTAAACAAACTGCCATGGTTGTGTTCCAATAAAACTTTATTTACCAAATCAAACAGTGGGCCAGATTTGGCCTGCAGGACATAGTTTGCCAATTTCTGATCTTGGGTATATCCTATGGTTGGCCCACATTCAATTTTAATAGATAATTCCAAAATGCTTTACACACTGGTTGTGTCATTTTACACTACCACCAACAATGTATGAGAGTTCCTACTGGTCTACATTCTCACCAGCAAGTGCTATCATCAATCTTTTTGATTTTCTAAACTGGTGGATATGCAATACTATGATTTACTTTTTATGGTTTGCGGGTCAAAGTTAAGCCCATAACAAAAATCCTTCCACTCTCTTGATTTCTTTTGTGCTGTCTCAACCTGCAGAGAATGGGGGGAGAGTTGCAGCTGCCATACCAGCAACATGCACATAAACCAAGGCCATGCTCATGTGCGCCCCAGTGGTATGTGAGTCACTTCTGAATCATCCAGGAGCTTCAAAAAAGAAATTCTTGGACCCTATTCCTCAGCACAACCCATCTGACACACCTTGGTCCAGAGCTTCTCACCATGTGTCTCAGCAGAAGAAATGGAGAACTGCTGTGTTTGGGGACCGGTGGCCACTAAGACTGAGTGTGTGACTTCCCTCACTAGCATACCTGCATTTTCACAAAAGGAAAAGGCTTAAGGCAGAGGAAAGGATCTCTGAAAAGGAGAATGTCAACCATTGCCCAGCTGGTGAGGAGGCGCTGAGAGGGGGAAACCACAGCTTGTTCTGTAACTCTAAAATCTAGGAGCGAGCTCATGCTTTAGTCCTGCCAACAGATTTTTTCATTCATCATCTAATATGTATTTCAATTCTACTAAGTCTATATAGAATCTAGGAAATAATAGCTTCAACTGAATTAATCGTCAGGATTGCACACTACATTCTAAAATTATATTAAAGGTAATGGGAGAATTCCCCATCAAAACAGTAACGATGAAAACTCACCTTTTTCTGATCCCATAAACAGATTCTGTAGAGGCAAAAAAAAAATGGTTAACATTTTTTAAAACTTATTGGAATCTATGACAAAAAAACTTTATACTTAAATTATTATTCATGTAGCACTAAGATAATATGTTCCATCATCTTCCAACAAGCGATTTACTTATCCAAATGAAAAACAAATAGTTATTCAACGGAGGAAAAGACAGGTCCCTAAAGACTCCTGGAGATTCAGACTCTTCTCAATTCAGGACTCTCAAGGTGAGCCAACAAACTGGAAAATTTTGATGACAATGGAGTCACATGAGCCTTTACCTTACTCTCAATCAGGGTTTCACAGCCTCGGCCCTACTGACATGACAGGCTGGAAAATTCTGCTGTCGGGGGGCCATCCTGTGCGCTGCAGGAGGTTCAGCAGCATCCCTGGCCTCTACTCACTGGATGCCACAGCACCCTCACAGCTGTGACAACCAAAAATGTCTCCAGGCTCTGTCACATGTCCCCTGGGGAGTAAAATTACTCCTGGTTGAGAATCACTTCTCTAAATTGACTCGGTGCATTCAGAATAAGAATATTAAACAGTCCAGCAATTCTGCCTGCCATTCTCCTCCACAAGCACACGCCCCGGGAGGAGGAGGAGAGGAGAGGTGTCGGGCTGAGCCTTCCCAACTGCTGCCGAGTTCATCCCACCCTCCCGACTCACGCACGGCCCCGATTTCTGATGGGCACACTGTCCCACTTCCCAGCTTCCCTTGCATCTGTGTATGGCCCGTGACTACCTTCAACACAAATGTAACTGGACGTGTTGACGGGGACTCCGGGAAGTCTCCTTAAATGAGAAAAGGTGTCCCCTACTTTCCCCCTTCCTCCTTCTAACAACCTGGACATGAGGTGACCCTGAACACGGCAGGGCATCGAGAGAGAGAGCTGGGGGCCAGCCCAGCAGCGCAGCGGTTAAGTGCGCACATTCCACTTAGGTGGCCTGGGGTTCGCTGGTTCGGATCCCGGGTGCAGACATGGCACCACTTGGCGAAAGCCATGCTGTGGCAGGCATCCCACATATAAAGTAGAGGAAGATGGGCATGGATGTTAGTCAGGGCCAGCCTTCGTCAGCAAAAAGAGGAGGATTGGCAGCAGTTAGCTCAGGGCTAATCTTCCTCAAAAAAGAATATAAAAAAATAAATAAATAAAAGACAGACAGAGCCAGATCCCTGAAGATTCTGGAGCTGCCATAGCAGCCCTGGACCACCCAGCTCTTGTTTACGTCATCAGGGAGGGCTTGCGTTCTAAGCCAGTGAACCAGTCCTCAATACAAGGGGCACTAACCGGCTCTCCCTGGCTGGTCCCAGCTCTTCTGAGCCGCTCACTGAGCGACTGGCCACCTGGAGGCTAACTCTCTACTTGCTACATGCCCCCAGGCACAAGCCAACGACTTGGCCTAGCCGGCCCCTAGAGAAACAGTGAACTTCCAGCTCTGGCAGAAAGCCCGGCTGTGCCGGACTCTGAGTCACAGTAGGAAGTAAAGCTTCATGGGGTGGCACTCTCCCCACCTCACGACTCCAACCTCCAGCAGAGACGGGGCTCCACTGTTCCACTTCTTCCTCTGAACTGTGCCACACCCGATTCTTAACACATTTTTTTGAGCAACCAATCAGCACGTTTTCTCCCAACTAACACTGACATAACAGGTGAAACTTATAGAGCCCAGGAGTTGGGGCAACATAACCGTGATATTGTGATTTATGATAAGAAATATAAATTCAGTCTTCCTCGAGTTCCGGCCCAGAGCTCCTAAAACTCTTGGAACTTCCTTAAGGGATAAGAGTGATAAAGGCATCTTTTGTTAGGTTAACCAAGTGACTTTTGGAAAGTGCCTAAGGCTGGGGGCTGGCTGTGATTAGAGGTCTGGAACCTTCAGCCAGCCAACCAACCAACTGCAGGGAGAGGGGCTGGAGGCTGACTGATCACCAATGGCAGATGAGTTAATCACGCCTATGTAAGGAAGTCTCCACGAAAACCCAAAAGGATGGGGCTCAGAGAGCCTCCAGGTTGGGGAACCAGAACACATCCACGTGCTGCCGTGCTGGACCCCAAACTCCACGGGGACAGAGGCTCCTTTGTCTGGGACCTCACTCCGTGTATCTCTTCATCTGGCTGCTGAGTCATATCCTTTACGATCCTCTGTAATAAACCAGTAACCCAGTGAGTAAACTGGTTTCCTGAGTTCTGTGAGCCATTCTGGCAAATTAATCGAACCCACAGAGGGGTCGTTGGAACCTCTGATTTGTAGCCAGTCGGTGAGAAGCACAGGTGACAACCGGGACTTGTGACTGGCATCTGAGGTGGCGGGCAGCCTCCTAGGACGGAACGCTTACCCTGTGGAATCTGACGCCATCTCCAGGTAGACAGTGTCAGAATGGAGTTGAACTGCAGGACACCAGCTAGTGTGGGAGAATTGCTTGGTGTGGGGGAAAAACCCGCACATTGGAACTGGGTGCAGAATCATAAAAACAAAAAGAAATGGCTACTCAATCTGAAGTAGAGCCTGGGAGAAAAGTGCACCGTACTCACGATGGAGAGCTTTTCTGTGGTAGTGTACCGGGCAAGGATTTCTCCTCGCTTGCTGGCCCAAGGCTCAAAATCGGATCCTACGATGGAGTTATCCTCTCTCTCACGTTTCTTTCTGGAACTGTCCTGAGGAAAGGCAAGACAATCTCTTCAGCAGCACTATCGTTTTAATCTTGAGAAAAAGTGCAAGTAAACATGGGACTACAGTTGATAACATGGTACTGTTTAATGGAAAATTGCTGAGAGGAGAAATTAAATGTTCTCACCTCAAAAAAAAAAGAGGTAAATCTGTGAGGTGATGAATGTGTTAACTCAACGGGGGGAATCTTTTCATAATGTGTATGTATATCAAATCATCACGCTGTACACTTTAAATATCTTACAATTTCATTTGTCAATTATACCTCAATAAAGCTAAAAAAAAAAACTATAAGCAGAAGACAGTCCCTCATTGCAGAATAAAACAGATCTGTCAACGGTTTCCTATGATAAAAAATTCTTCAGTCTGATTCACCAAAAATGGCCAATAAATATATCAAAAGATGCTCAAACTCATTAAGAATCAAGGAAAGGGGGCCAGCCCAGTGGCGCAGCGGTTAAGTGCGCACGTTCTGCTTCAGCAGCCTGGGGTTTGCTGGTTCAGATCCTGGATGCGGACATGGCACCACCTGGCAAGCCACGCTGTGGCAGGCGCCCCACACATAAAGTAGAGGAAGATGGGCACGGATGTTAGCTCAGGGACAGTCTTCCTCAGCAAAAGAGAAGGATTGGCAGCAGATGTTCGCTCAGGGCTAATCTTCCTCAAAAAAAAAAAGAAAGAAATTAAAAAAATAAATAAATAAATAAATAAATAAAAGAAAGGCAAACTGAAAGAGATCATTTTCCAACAAGGAGAAAGGCAAAGAGTTAAACTGACTGATAATATCCATGTTGGCAAGGATGAAGGGAGACAGGCCCTCTGAAACACTGCTGGTGGGCATACATATAAATTGGCGAGGACTTTCTGGAGAACAATTTGGCAGCAGCCATCAAAACCTTAAATACACATTGCCTTAACTCAGTAATGAACTTCCAAGAAGTTACCCTGCAGAAATCCTGGCACGTATGCACCAAGATGCATGCATGTTCAAGGACCAGTGCACCACTGTCTATACCAGCAAACACCAGGAACAGTCTGTGTGTCCATCATTAGAGGAATGGTGAATTCAAGTAGATAATGCCTACTCTTCAGGATACAACGCAGCGGTTCAAAATAACGTTGTTCTATAAGTACTAATATGGAAAGTTCTCCAAGACATATAGTCAAGTTAAGAAAATATATATAAATATAGTTCAATTTATGTAAAAAAAAAAAAAATATGTAGAGATGTATGCACTGCCAGCACAGAATGATGGTCGAGAGTGTGGATTCAGAAGTCAGACTGGCCGGGTTTGAATTCCAGCATAGATGTGACTAAGCATCTCTATTCCTCCGTGTGGGCCCCTTTAAATGAGATTATAATACCTCTCTCACGAGGTAGTAAGAGAACTAAACTCAGAAAGTACCTGCCACACAGTAAGCTCATACTACTACCGTTGTTAGTACTTATATATGAGTATGTACATAAATGCTAAGAAATCACTGTCATAAGTACCTATGTATACACAAAGAAAAAGTACAGAAGAACACACATTACTCTGTTAACACTGATGACCTCCAGGGTGGCTAATAGAATAAAGAGAATTGATCAATAGGACTTCATCTGTAATGTTTGACTCTCTTACATAAATAATTAGTGAATTACTTATGTAATTACACAAAAATAAATCCAAGGGCTGGGCTGGTGGCATAGCACTTAAGATCACGTGCTCTGCTTCAGCGGCCCAGGGTTCACGGGTTTGGATCCTGGGCAGAGACCTGCACATCACTCATCAGGACATGCTGTGGCAGCAACCCCCATACAAAAGAGAGGAAGACTGGCACAGATGTTAGCTCAGGGACAATCTTCTTCAGCAAAAAAAAAAGAAAGAAAGAAAGAAAAAGGAAAAAAAAATCCAAAAGAAAGAATTATAAAAAGAGTAAAGTTAAAACAAAGAATTTTAAAATGTTTTAAAAAAAAAAGGAAGAAGCTTCCAGGATCCACAGCAGCCTCTCACCGGCAGCGTCATTCTCTATAAGCAGTACCCTGTGGATGCGTGGATTATTCGAACTGTTACAACGAGAATGCGCCCATGCATTACTTGTGCAATTTGAAAACAAAAAGATGAGAAAGCCCCACCCCTACACCCGCAGGACCAACCAGCAGCTGGACGACTGCTGGCGGGGTGTGTTACCGTGGCAGCCGCCGTGGCTGCGGGGTCAGCAGTGGCTGCGAACATGGAGAGGGGGTCGGTCCCATCCAAGACACTGCTCAGCGGGTCCACCACGGAGCTGGAGGAAGAGGAGGACGTGGAAGACGTGCTTCCTTTCCGGCTCACTTTCTTTGTCTTTGACTCTGTGACCTGTGGGGAAAACTCGTGGACGTAAACGATAGTCTCCTCTGACTTTTCCCAATGACACGCTCAAAGGGGGTTTCCCTCATTCTGTTAGTTCAACCAACCTTTCCTTGCAAGCAGGGACGCTTACTTTTTGTGACAAATTGACTTGACTCAGAACCCCAGCTGTCAGGGAAGGGAGGGTGGGAGGTTAGGGGTCAGGGAGGAAGAGACGGGGCCATCACGATTTAGAAGGTGGTGAAGCTAACTGCAGTCTTGTGGGCCTTCTTGCTCCAAGTGTGGTCCCTGGACAAGCAGTCATCCACAATCACCCGGGAGCTTACAAAACATGTAAGCATCTCGAGCCCCGCCCCAAGACCGACTGCATCAGAATGCGCGTCTTGCAGCAGTGGTCCAGGCAGGGTCATGAACCTAAGATCCCAGGGCCACCGTACTCTGAAGACAGCCTCAGTGGCTCTGCACGGCCATCTCATCTCGCAAAGCAGTGAACGCCCAGCCACTTCCTTTCTGGAGAACTTCTCACCGTGCCTCATCCTGGTGTCGGTGCTGAGGGCAGGTGGGGTGTTGGGGTATGAAGCCATGTTTTTGTTCCACCGGCCCCGATCCCTTCCTGACTTCAGATGACGACCAGGGTGAAACCCTGAGCTAAGGGGATCCCACCAGAGTCTCCCTGCCGAAAATTCAGGATCCACATCCAGAGGGCTAGTGGGCTCCACTCCTTTTGAAATGAGGAAGCTACGAAAACCCAGGGCCTGAGGGACAGCGATGGACGCTTTGGGCACGCATCCGTGGGGAAGCAGAGAAAACCCTCTTCAGAGAAAAAGAGAGAGGAGGAGGGTGTAACAACAAAGAGAGAGTGTTGGCTAAAGGAGGATCTGAGGGGCCTTTGTCCCTGGTTCCTGGAAAGGAGACCAAGTCCTTGGAGTGGCTGGTATTCCTGAACCCCTCGATCACACCTGAGTTTACGCTAATGAGATGACGCAGCATGGGGACCGGTCACAAGAAAGACCAACCATGCGATTAGAGGCTTGGGGCTTTGCGCCAGCTGATATCAGCCTGACCTTCGGGGTGGGGAGGGAGGCTGGGGACCAAGTTCAATCACGTGGCCAAGGAATCACTCAATCACACCTACGTAATGAAACCCCAATAACAAGTCTGGACACCAAAGCTCAAGGGAGATTCCCAGCTGGTGAACACACGACACGCTGCAAGGTGATGCGCCCTGATTCCATGGGCAGAGGGCGTGGGCGCTCTGCATTCGGGACCCCCCCCAGACCTCGCCCTGTGTGTCTCTTCATTTGGCTGGTCTTCATTCGCATTCTTTATAAGAAAACTGTAAACATAAGTATGGCGTTCTCCTGAGTTCTCTGAGTTGTTCTAGCAAATTATCAAACCCTAGAAGGTCTTGGGAAATCCTTGGATTTGTAGCCAGTCGGTCAGAAGTGCAGGTGGCCTGGGGACATTTGCAGCTGGTGTCTGAAGTGAGGGCAGTCTTACTGAAGACCCTTCCCTAAACCGGTGGGGTCTGACCCTAACTGTGGGCAACTGGGCAAAGCTCCTCCCACGGGGGCAGGTTTGTCGTCTTTTCTCTGCCTGGCATCCATTCCTTCCTTTCTGAGGCTCAACAGGCCAAATTTTCTTTGGGAAGGCAGCCCTCCCCGACTCTCAGCTCCTGCAGGCCTGGTGGGATGGACTCTGCTCCCAGTTTCCCAGGTGGGCACTGGCCCCATCCCAGTCAGCGTATTCTCTAGCCCGGTCACCAGGGCTGGTTCAGGGAAGGAAGGACACACAACCCAACCGGGTAAATGAAAATTGCTGAAGGGAATGTCCCTGCAGTTGTGTTGCTGAGCCAGCAGGCTGTGAGCTCGGAGCCGCTGCAGCTAGCCTGTTACCACGTCGGGAGCGAGTTCCTGGGAATGCAACCCACTCGTTGGTGGGTCAGCCACAGCCACACGAGCCCCTGGGGATCTGAGGGGCCCTGGGAGGCCGAAGCTCGGCCTTGTGACCTCCTGCTTTCCGTAATTGCCTCTGTGTGCTCTCAGGTCCTCTGCTATTGAGAAATTTTAGGTCCTCGGTATCCACTGGCATCTGTCCCTCAAGCTCGTTTCCACCCGTGCTGGCCACCGCATGGCTGCTATCACTTACTAATAAAGAGTGCTTACCCAGAAGAGAGGACCACCTCACCTCTCGCCTGCTTTTTGTCCTGTTTTGTTTCTTTAAATAATCTCACAGATAGACTAAGATGCTATTCAGGACAGCGCCCTGCGCTGGTAAGTAGAGGATTCTTAATATTCCAAACAGGCCAATGAATAAGCAAGATGTATTTTGTTCACACCTCCACATCAGGAACAAGGGCATCCCATACTCATGACAACCTCACTTATACGAGAAAGGGAGAATCAAAATGATGGAGGGTGAGGCCAACATCACAAAAATGGGGCAGGGAACAAACTGGTTGATTGAAACATGCAAAGAGACTAACACTGGCAAAATGGAAAGACCCAGGAATACCGCCTGCAATTTTCTGGAACATCAGTTAGAGAGGCCCCTGGCAAAACTTACAGTTATGGGCTTCAGTGGGTGATAGTCCCCAAACTCCAGCGGTACAGCCTCCAACCGGCATGATGCAAATTCAGCCTTGTAGTTCCTATGCCTGGAATGCCTGGTGAACAGCAAAACCCAGAAACCAGTCAGTTGATGGGGATAAGCAACACACTAAACACTGTTTGCTGAGACTTCCTCAGTGATGAGGTAGTTTATAGGGGAATGGTATTTCTACCAAGACAAGCAAGAAAGAATAAATAAATTTGTTTAACAATCTGTTGGAAGCTCCAAGGAGCTGCCAAGGCATACAGGACCTGCAAGGCCAGACAGCAGAACAGAGGGAAGCTCACGGAGGGGAACCGAGTGTTCCTCACCCAGCTCTCCCTCACAGCATCGACTCATCCTGGCACAGGACAAGAGGGCGAAGCTGGGCAGAGGGCAGCTGCCAGGAGGCAGAGCAGCCAAGAGCTCTAAGGAACCTCACAGGGCTGGAGAGAGAAGTTAGGGCCAGGGCTGTCGAGACAGCCGGGCTTGAAGGGAGAGCTTCTGAAGAAGGGAGGGCAGAGAAGTGAAAATCCTGGCCTGGCCTCCCCTCAAAGTACTGGCCAATTAAGCTGTGTAGAGCAGGAGAAAAAGCCAGGCAGAAAGCAGAGGAAGAGCAGATGGTTTTCATCAGTCTTGTGGGGGTTAACAAATGAGATGGAAGATGAAAGGGGAGAGAGGATGCTTCCCACATTGAAGCACGGAGAGGAAAAGAGATGGGGAGCACAGAAGAGTGGAGAAGACAAAGGGACACGAAGAAAAGGTCTAACACACATACATCTGGAACCCAGAGGAGAGGAGAGAAAGGATGGATGGGAGCAGCATCTGAAGAGATGGCAGCTGAAATTCTTCTCAAACCAAAGAAAGACATCAAGCTACAGAGTCAAGAAACACTCGTGCCCCAAGCACAAAAACCAAACAGAAACAACCACACTTAGGGCCTCCAAGGTAAAACGGCTAAAAACTAAAGAGAGGGGGTGTCTTAGGAGAAAAGGAAAACATTATTTTCAAAGGACAACAGTAAGATTATTATCTCAGCACAGAGAGGAGAGCCAGAAGACAAAGGAATGACACCTTTAAAGTACGTGCTGAAAGAAGATAATAGCCAACCAAGAATTCCACACCTAGTGAAACGCTCCTTCAAACACAAGGGCAAAAGAAAGGAGTTCCCAATCAAAGAAAAGTCAGCAGCAGCCGCAGCAGAACCACGTTTTAAATTAAAAAAAAAAAATGTTAAAGGAAAATAATTCCAGTTGAAAGCAAAAGATATGTATAGATATTTAGTTACATATATATGTAAATACATAATATATATACATAACATAACATATATACTACAGAGTAACAAAAGAAGGGTGTGGGTAAAACTAAATGAATATTGACTGCAGAAAATAGTTTATAGAGTTCAAAATACATGTAGAGTTAAAATCGTGACAACGAGAAGATAAAAGGCAAGAGAGGTGCTGTGGTCCGGAAGTTTGTGTGCCTCCAAAATCCACAGATTGAAATCGTAACCCCCAAAGGCAACAGTACATGGAGGCGGGGCCTCTGGGAGGCGCTAAATCACGAGGGTGGAGCCCTCTAAACGGGATTAGTGCCTGTATACAAGAGGGTCTGGAGAACCCCCTCATCACATTCACCACGTGAGGACACAGCGAGAAGGCCCAGGACATGACCCAGGAGGAGGGCCTTCTCCTGGCCGTGCTGGCACCACGACCCCAGACGTCCTGTCTCCAGGACTGTGAGAAATAAAGTCTTCTTGTTTATAAGTTGCCCAGTCTGCGGTACTTTGCTGTAGCAGCCCATACAGACTGAGATAGGAAACTGGTACCAAGAGCAGGGGTGCTGCTGCCGTCAAACACCTGAAGGCGTGGAAGCGGATGCTGGCAGAAGCCAAAGTCCCGAGGCACAATCTGCAGAGAGCCGCTGCTGCAATGAACTGTTCGGGGCTGCTCCAGCCAGGGGCTCAGAGGAAGAGGGCAGCTGCTGAGAGCTTCGACCTTCTCCCATCGTACCTAAGCAGTTGTGAAGAGAACGTGGCATAAATGGGGCGGCAGAGCCATTCTCTTGAGGCCTCAGACGGAAACTGGAGGAAAAGTGATCCTTGTTTTAAATGGCTGAACTGTGTCTGTGACCTAGTGTTTCGTGCAAGGTAAAACTTGCGAGCCATGAAACTACAATTTGGCTGAAGAAATTTCTAAGCAGTGTTGAAGGAGTGGCTTTGCTTTTCTTGAATGCTTATGGTAACACTGGAGAAGAGAGAAAGGATGTAAAGATGGAATGGCTAATCAAAAGGGAAAGAGAACTTGAATATTCGGAAAATTCTCAGCCTGTCCATATTGAAAGAAATAAGAAAATGTGTTCATTGGGACTAGCCCTCCCATCATTGGGGTGCCAGAGCCAGTGGGCCACTGCTGCCACCTCACACTGGGGGCTCACTCCCCGAATCCCGGCACCCCAATCCTCAGCCATCCCAGGTGTCATGAATAACATTTCGTCTTTAAGAAGAGACATGGGCAGGTCCCATTTGCAAAATATCATCTTCCAGAAAAACAGCTTTTCTGGGCACACAGAACAATTCCTCCCTCCCCACCCGGCTTTAGGGAAAACAGCAGCTCAAACAGCAGAAGAAGCCAGGCACTTTGTCCCTTGGCCTCGACATCCCCTGAATTCAGCCCTCCCCACCCACAACCCCATTCCGAGCGTCATGACTTCACTAATCTCTGCAGGCAACATAGCAGCCCGATCTAACTGTGCCACGCAATTAGTCAGCTCTCCCCAATATCCCCCGCTAATCCAGAAACCCAATCCAGCACAAAAGAACTGAGCTCCCATGTCATCTCGCTTCCATCCCTTTCTAAATACACTTGGCTTTGAGTGCTGGAGAGGAGAAAGGCTACTTACCCATAGGGACCAGCCTCTCCTTCTACTTCCTTTGTAAAGGAAAATCCTGCCACAACATATGTCTACTCCCTCCGGGTTACATTTTACAAAATATACACTGTCTTTCCCTCCCAAAATATTGCAATTGAAGTCATTTATGAAATATTCTTCCAAACTCTTTTTAATATGCTATCGGCCAATTCTTGATTTACAAGACAAAACGCCCAAGAATAAATAAATTGGAATCATCGTCAGCAACAGCCATAATGGAGTTTTAAAAATCAAATTACCCTTTTCCTCCTTTCAGATCACTCTTAATCAGTTGCCAAGAAAAATAGAATTTTGCAAAGTTAATTTCACAGAATGGGCAGAAATGTAATCTGACCTGAAATTCAGTTGCAAATGTGTTTTTCATCCCCAAAATAATTATTAAATCAATCAACAGCTGAGAAAGGCACTGTTATCAAAACAGCAATATGGCTTGATACACAATTAAATAATAGTTCTCATTTGTTCTGTGCTTATATACCAGGATCCAGGCCAACCCCTTTACCCCCATTTCCTCATTCAATCAATCCCATGAGGTAGGTACGAGGATTATGCCCATTTCTCAGATGGAGAAGCTGAGGCTGTTACTGTGGTGCTAACTTAGGAGAGGCGAGCAAGTGATAGAGACAGGTGTAGACAGAGGCAGCCTGTCTCTGAGCTTCAACAGTTCTATAGATCATCTGGAGGTCAACTGGAGAACGTGAGAAATTAAGCAATTGTCTTTTTTTTTTTAAAGGACCAAGTTTTGAAATGATTTTTTAAAAAACGTTTGGGGGGAGGGAATTCTTTGAGGAAAAAATACTGCTTCCGGAAAAACCTTAAAAAAAAAAAAGGAAACATTTACCCTTCCTGAAAATCCATGTCAAATTGCTATATTTTGATTTTTCTATCACTTCTTCCACGATTTTCTCAAATTTGCTCTCTGCTCCCTAGCGTTCCCTGCAGTTTGGGATGTTAAAGCATCTTCTGCAATGTCTACGTCTTTGCGAAGGACAACAGTGACCTCCAGTGGGCATTTTCTCAAAAATCCTGTTTTTCCTGCTAACAGCTGATACAGCTGGTAAAAATCCCCCATAATCCCAGCTCCCAGCCATGCAAAAGGCTCGTCTGCCTCTGCAGCAGTGGCCACAGAAAAAAAGGCCAACGTTTCACACCCCCATTCCTGGCTACCCGAAGCGTGGTCCAGAGGTCACCAGCAAGGGCATCACCTTGGGAGGGTTGAAATACCCCAGACCTACAGAATCAGCATCTGCACTTCAACAAAATCCCCAGGTGATTTAGGCACGTTAAAGGGTGACAACCCCCTAGTTTTAAATTATTTGCATCTGATAATATGGATACACATAAATTCCATTACCAGTTTTCAAATTAATTTCCTTATACTGGAAATGCCAAAATCTACTAAATGCTTCTTGTCAGCTTTTTTAATTCTCAAGTGATTTTTTAATTACTAATGACATAATCCAGCCACACAGTTTTTTCTCCCACAATCACAATATATCCTCCTCCCCAAAAAAGTGCTAAAACAATGTAGAAATTGTGACTCCAAAGAGTAGGTTTTTTTTTTTTAACATTTTACTTTTTTTCTTTTTGTCCCCAAAGCCCCCCGGTACATAGTTGTGTATTTTTAGTTGTGGGTCCTTCTAGTTGTGGCACGTGGGACGCTGCCTCAGCATGGCTTGGTGAGCAGTGCCATGTCCACACCCAGGATTCGAACTGGTGAAACCCTGGACCGCCAAAGCAGAGTGCACGTGAGCTTAACCACTAGGCCACAGGGCCGGCCCCCAAAGAGTAGTATTTTAAAAGGTGCTATTACCACAGGGCTGGACAGGAAATGTGATCCATGATGTACCAGACATCTCACATGTTAGGCCAGGCCGAAATATATCAGACATGACAAAAAAGTGTGACAAGAGGGAGCCTGGAGGGACGCATGACAATGCAGCGGGACCTGGGGAGCCCCGCAACCCAGAAACCTCAGCCCGGGAGCCAGACTGGAGGAGGTCCAGCTGACAGTCAGAATTAAAATCACTGGCTCTGGGGGGCTGGGCCCACAGCCTAGTGGTTAAGTTTGGTGTGCTCCACTTCAGCAGCCTAGGTTCCTGGCTTCAGATCCAGGGCACGGACCTATACTATTCGTCAGCCATGCTGTGGTGGTGACCCACATA